GAAGCCGCCGCTGTCGTTGTCCCCCTCGCCTTCCACCCGCGACCCCCGCAGACGACGACATGGGCGAGTGCGGAGCTCCCGGGGACGTCAATTCCAACGTGCTGGTCGCCCGCAGCACCGGCGACGCGCAGCTCGACAAGGCGGTGTGGCAGTGGCTGAGCTGGGACAAGGTGGGTGCATGGCGGGGGGCGGCGGCGGCACCACGCACCCACCCACCCACCCCCCGCTGGGGGCTTCTCCGCCCTCCCGGGGTGGTTCTGTCATCGGTCCCATCGCGTATTCCGTCTCCTTCCCATCCTGCCTGGTGTCCTCCTCCCTCCCCGGGGTCCTCAGCCTTCCCTCGGCAGGGCCCTTTCACCCGGGATCGATGCCCTTTGAAAAATACCTATCTGGATCCAGCCAAATCCCAAAAGGCTGCCGCGACTGAGAAATTCTTAACCTGTGAGAGGGGAAGGGTGAGATATGCGGCCATCCGGGGGCTGTACCTGACGAAGGGATGGTATGATGTCATCCTACCAGCACATGGAGTACGGCACCTGCTTCGTGTTGCTACCGCTTCTTCATTAAGACAGAAACATGCGTCTTGTGAAATCGGGCTGAAGGAAGGATTGTTTAATGGCTTAAAATGCAGTTAGAGTCGGATGGCATCATTTTGTTAGCTTCTGGGATTTAACACCCTCCCCAGGAAAGAAACAGGCTCCAGAGGTCTAAGGTCTGGCATGCTCCTTTCCTTTTTGGCTCCAACAGGGTGTCAAGAGGACTGCAGGCTTGGTTAGTTCTCATTAAACCATCCAAAGCAAATTTGGGGCCATAATAATAATATGGTATTTGAGGTTATTTTGCTTAACTCGTTGTTGAAAGGGTTGCTTTTTTTTTCAGCTGGCTTGTTCAAACATCATGGCCTGTGCTTTAAAAAATATCTTAGAGATGGCAGAGGGTAAACTACCAGTGCACCAGTGGTTTAGGTTCCTGACTGTGGCTTCTTTTTGTTTCTTCTTTTTTTTTTTTTCCTTTAATGAGAGTGATTATCAATGTGTTTTATACTGTTTCCTCTTTAGTTTCGTCCTGTCAGGATCAAAGCAGGAGGGCTACGAGTAAAATCTACGTGACAGCCCTTAAATGAGCTTTCTGCTACTTGGAAATATGCTCTCTTCTTTCATTTTTGCAGGAATTAACACTTGCCATCTGCACATTCTGCGCTCAGAGCTGCTGTTGTGAAAGTGTCTGGGAATCGTGGCATGGGGGGGAGGGAAGGAGTGGAAAAGGGAAATAGCGTTCCTGATAATACACTTGATAACCCAGATTGAACTCTAGTAAATTTTTTTATATAACTTCTGGTTAGTGTATTGAAAGGTGTTTTGTTTTTTTTTTTTTTTCAGAGGGATTAATGTATGTTTATCCTAAAAATGTGTGAAGCAGGAGAACTTACACTTTTTAATGTTAAGGTTACTGGGGAAAAATATTTCAATTAAAACGAGCAATAGTGAAATATTACTGTTTCAATAGCTCCTTCTAAGGCCAAAATTAGCCAATAAAATACAAACTGGAGAGTCAGTTTGATTGTACCTGTTTACCCTTTCTTCTCTAGGTGATAATCATGACCATTCCTACAAGGCTGCTTGAACTTATTACTTGGAGAGATTTCAAAGAGAGTTCTTGTGCATTTTGAAAACTCAAAATCACCTGGAGAAGGAGGCCTGAGTGCTCCTGCAGGAGTGGGGGCTGCAGGGCTGGGGGCACGGGTGGTCCAGAGGCACTTGCAGTTGCTCCGTAGAGGATGTAAGCAAAAGAGGTGAAAGTGTTGTGGGACAGGAGGGCAAGGAGAAACCAGCAGGTACGGCATGAGGAGGGATTATTCGTCCAACGCCCTTGTATTTCACCACAAACCTAGGAAATGAGCTCTCTGTAGGTTTGCTGCTTATCAAACGACAAGGAGCTGCCTGTCTCACCCCTTCCCCACCCCCAGTTTCCTTGGCCGTAGGGACTTTTGCTGCTTCTGATTAAGGAAAAAATCTATGCACTACATTCACAGCTGTATTTAGCTGTGGGGAGCTTTTGTCCTCTAACTTAATTGAAAATTATTTGCTGTAATTAATTCTTAGAGCTGTGCTCTTCATCCTTTTTGACTTGGGTATACGTGCTAACCTTTTCTAAAACTGGAACTGATTATGGGCTGGGGCGTGGGTGGGTGAAGGAAACCTGACCATCTGATGATCTTTCTGCTTTCCTCCTCTTTCACCAGTATCGTGCATCTTCATTAATGCTTCTAGCAACTAGCTTAGAGGAAGCTCAGTAACGAAATCGGCCTCCTTTCCCATTCTCTCTCCTTAATTGCTGTGTGTTTGCTTTTGTCTTTGAGACAGGCTTGGAGGCACAAGGTACCCGCCTTTTGTTCAGTCCTCATTGGTAAATTATGTCAACAATTAGTCATTGTTCTATATTTTCTCCCTCTTTATCCACTCTCTAACTTTCCTATTGTGCTTCCACATCTGCCTTGAGTCTCCGAAAGGAGTCTGGCTCGTCTGGAAAGCTGTGTCAGAGCAGTTGTCTCCAAGAAAACCACTTCTCTTTAGAGAATTTTAGAATCTTAGAATTTTGGACCTTAGTTGTGGTAATTTGATGTGCTTGTAGTGTTTTATGTGCTTGTCTTAGGTGGCTTTATAGCATAAAGCTACACACAGAGTGGCACGAAATGAGCTGAGCGCTTGTTGTACGTGGTGGCAGAGGAGGTTTCAGTGTAAGCCTGAGGGTGAGATAACTGGCTCAGCAGCTGGTGGGAGAGAACAGTATAATTAAGATCCTGATCTACTTAATCAAAAACCTGGTCCCATAGAAAGATTCACAGCTTTACCTACAAGTCAGAGTAGATAACGGGTGCCCTCTTCCTTTCCCTCAGTAAGTCCTCACACTGTAAAAATGACGCATAAGCGCAAGCTGTTTGCTGGTGGTTTATTAATGAGCCCTGTAGGATCGCTGACAAGAATCCTGTTCCTCGGGCATGCTCAGTGCTTTGCCCATCGTCAGGAAAGGTAGGGAGGAGTGTTTGTACACAAACTGTTCCGGGCTGCTGTTGTGGTGGTGGAGTGCACCTGGGAGAAGGGAATGGTTTGTGCTTATTACAAAGGCACTGTTTGAACATCACATGGGGGAAAAACTGCAATTAATTCTCCAGGAGCTGCTTGCGCAGGCCCCTTTCACTGTACTCTCATTTTAGTGTCCTAATTCATGGGCTCGTTGTCAGTGCACAGACATAGCATGGATAGCTTCCTCCTTGCTAACAAGGTGGCTTGGCTGGTTTGGGGGTTGTTTGGGGTTTTTGGGTGTGGGGTTTTTTTTTGTTTTTAATTTTTGTGACTTTTAAGACGCATTTCAAGAGGAAATGGACTTGGTAGTTAGAGACCAATAACCTGCTTCTGCCATTCAACTTTCAATATTTTTTCTTATTAAGACTTTTAAGTGAATTTTTAAGAATAAAAATGGGAAAATAAAGTCTAGGAATTGGCCACAAACGAGAAGAGCAATTCTTCAAAATTACATGTATGCGTTGCAAGCTCTAGCATTAAAACACAGGAGATAAAATTGTGAATTATTCAAGTAGTTGATTCTGGGTGGATTGGGGCACAAACCCCATCCTGGCACAACCGAGACTACCGAGAGCCTGTAAACAACTCGGTGAAATGGGGGAAGCTCTGAAATAACACAAGGACTGTGCTTTAGTGCCTCTTCTAAGACATTCAACTCTCTCAAGTCCATCAGGATAGTCTTGAAGCTTATACTTCATGGCATTACTGTCTGTATTGATAAATAAGCTATATTGCTGTCCGTGTTGTTGTCATGGAGGTGGGAAAGGGTATCGCCGTTCTGTGCTTACAGACTCTAGCTTTCAGATATCAGAAATAAAATTTGAGCATTAAGACTTGCTTTGTAGAATTTGGAACTTCCCTGTGTTAGGTACCTCTGAGTTCATAAACGTAAGTGTTCTGTATGATGTAGGATCTTTTGTGGTTTTTTAACTGCTAGTCTACACATATTTGGGTGGTCTAATGATTTTAAAATGTTCTGAGAAATGGATGGTTTTTATTCTGTGTTGGATGATAATGAGAGAATTGCAGAAAGGAGGTAGTCTCACCCTTCCTCGTGGCTGTGCTTCCCCTCCCTACCTGCTTGAGCTGGCACAATATTCATGCAGTTGGTCAGGGAACGGTTGCGGGGGGTCGGGGGGAAGGGAGGGGATTTGTTATTGATCAGCCTCACTGCAGCTGCGTAAATGTTTTTTCCTGACAGAAGAAAGGGGCCAGCACGTTAGTGGGAGCAGTCTGGGAAGGCGAGAACTGCCTCCTTCAGCAGCAGTGGGCTGTAAAGCATTACTACGATAAGTCTCAGTCCAGTTTATTTAAAAAGACATGCGGAAATGCCTGTAAAAAAGCAGTTATGTAAGGGGTTTTGTTGCTTGTTTTGTATTGGGCCAATATAAAAGAGGTGGCTTGTCTGCTGGCCTGTGCAGCTGGCTCCTGGGGTATGCTTTATATGTATATTTATATATGTGTGCATATCGCATATATATATGCACACATATATATCCATGTTTAAAGATGCATAAATACAGGGAACAAGGACAGCAAGGAACAACCCCAAAAGGTTACCAAAAACCACAAACTGGAAGAACCAGCCAATGGCTTCACAAATCAGACACTTTATTTTGAGGAGCTTTACGGTGGGTGGTGGGGAGGTTGCTCTGTTCACGGCTGGGGGGAGGCTCTAGCTGCCGGTATGGCGAAGCGGGGTGGTGGGGAGGTTACTTTTGTCCATGGCTGTGGGGAGTTTGCAGCCGCCTGTAGGCGCATGGTGGGGTATGGAGAAGATGAATAGTGTGGAGATGCCTTTTTCCTTAGCTGTGGGGAGCTTCCAGCTGCCTGTAGGTCAGTGGTGGGGTGTGGAGGTTGTGGGTGGTGCAGAGATCCCGTTGCCCTCAGCTGTGGGGAGCTTCCAGCTGTGTGTCGGTCCATGATGCAGTACAGACTGGGGCTGTGTGTGTTTCCTTATCCTTAGGCCAATGTCCTTGTAGAAGGGTGTAGCGCACTCTGGCTGAGCAGCAGAGGCTCTGGTCTGGTTATGTCTGGCTGCAGCTGTCAAAGAGGGGAGAGTCAACAACCAGAGCAGTTGCCTTCCA